AACCATCAACCGCCGATACAGTAGAACTTAGAGCATTAGGACTACAGCCACGACCACACCTTTAACTAACTCGACTTTACATTTTGCGTCGAACTCCACACCTGGGTTTGAGTCTCCTTGTTTGCCTGCGCCGCGCCTACCCATTAACTTGTCGTAAAACCCCGCGACATAAGTGTAAAGAGGGATATTTCTTTACAGTCCACGAGGCCATCCAGGGGACCAGCCCAACTTTTCAAAATCGATAATTATTTTGCAGAGGCTAAAGTTTCAATTCTTGACCTCACTGAACCTGTGAAACTAAAATATCCAAAGCGCATATCATATTACAAGTAATTTATTACGCGAGGTTAAACGTCACTCTCGCCGCCACTCATTTACTTGACGCTGAAGTGTCGCTATCACTTTCTCGATGGGATACAATGACCACCCCCGCTTCGGCCTCACGGAGATCTCTGTCAAGCTTGAAGAGCTTCGCGGTGGAGGATTCGATAGTGCTGAGAATCACCTCACCGTCCAACTCAAAGAACGCTCACTGGAGTCGCTCGAGGACATCTCGACAGGTAGTAGTCGAGTTGTATGCACGACCAACGGTTCCCTTGACGTTGGCCCAAACCATTTCGATAGGCTGAAGCTCGGAAAGCCCCAGTGCAGTGTAGACGACATGATGACCTCGTGACTGAGCCATCTGAACAACCACAGGTAGCACATGCTCATCGAGATGCTTCTTTACGGCCTTCCAAATCGTCGTCTTCAAGTCGTTCAGAGCAACGCTAGCAACGTTACTTGACGCAGGCCTGGTAGAGATCGTCCTTCTTCCACGTCCCCTTTGGTGTGCCTTTTGACTTTCCCTTGTGGTATTTTGCATTGTCCATGACAAACTCAACAGACGACGACCACCCCAGCTCTTCGACCTCATCCAACAGCTTGCGAAACCAGTCGACAAAGTAGTCGTGGTTAAACATGGAATGGTAGTCTTTATCTCCTTGCCATTATTCATTCCACCAACGAATATATCGAGTCCCAGTATGTGCGCCACATCGGATTCATCATCAAGGATCCCAGCCACAAAGCAGTACCGTTGTCCCTTGTGTTTCGGCTTGGTGGTATGGTCATCAGGGTGGTACAGGCTGTCGTCATGTCGGGTGTAATGGTGATGAATGAACCTCTCGTCCAAGTAGACAACAGCCCCCCGGGGCTCCATCGTCACGGTAGACACCATCATGACCACATAGGTGTGTCGGGCATCCTCATGCACTTTCGACATTCAATATTCCGTCGTCCCCGATCGCTTTCCCCTTGCATAACCTTCCTTGGCAAGGAAGGCTTAGACCGAGCGCAGGCAGGATGCGTAGTCCTTGGGCGATCCATAGGCAAATGCAACGGTATTTTTGTCCAGAAGGAGCGACAGGACATCATTCGCAACGGTGCGGTTTAGTGTGACGCTACGGTCATGAATGAAGGTCCGCATGAGAGTGCGAACAGCACGTGTATACGGCACTCTGCTGCCGTGAGTCGTGGTGTTCGATGGTGCGTCAGAATTAGAACGATCTCCAGTCTTGAGATACTCGGCAAGAACGTCTTTCATGGTCTTTGGTGCTCGACCGAGTAATCGAGCAATGATTCCAGTGACTCCTGTAACATTCTCTTTACGAAGAGTGGCTTGTGCCCACAGGATGTCTATCTTCTCATCGTATGTCAAGCTGCGCCTGCGGCGCAGCCTGACAAATGCCTCGATGCGTTGGATTGCCGACGCGTCCATTTGGAAAGTGATACTTTCGGTTTTACCGCCATAAGTTTCTCAATATTCGTTTTAGCTGATGGGAAACGATCCACCCAATCACAGCCGTCATTTTGGCACTTATTTCGCGCAAAACGGAGTAAAACTGAGTGAGGTAGCCTAAACATGGTGGTATAATTTGCTCAGGTATTTTGATCGACACATGGTATTTATATGTACCAGGTTTCTAAACACACAGAAATTTATTTACATTTCCATTGACTACCTCATGCTTTTTATATTAGGTTTCAGGAGAAATGGTTCTTCATGGGTACACTTTGCATAGAAATGAACAGTTTATGCATCGTATTGTGCAATGTATTGACTGTGAGTAGTTTAAAGTGTGCATAGCTTTTGGGAAGCTATAACGAATCAAACGCACCAAAAATCACGAAAATTGTCCTGTTCGATGGTCTCGCGGACTGTTAGGTGTAATCACGGCTGGCAGTCCAATGTTACACCTCCAGCAGCAAGACCACAACGAATACAATAGTCAACATAACGTTATATATTAAAACTATTGTGGTTCCTGCAATGTAAATTCCACGTATACGAACCATCATCCCATGCTGGGGACAAATCATAAACACCCAAAGGCCACATGCGTTATTTCCACACATTCTGACGCTGGGCGATCTCTACACTACAGTCCATCGAAGCACATTTACACCCACGTGTGACCTCTGGACGCTTGGTCAATGAACGCCCGGAAGGCCGCCACGCGACCATACACGTCGGGGAATCCCTTGGCGCATGGTTCACCGAAACTGACATCCCCCACCAACGCCAAACCCGCCGACGTGGACTTGATCAACGGTCCTCCCGAGTCACCAAAGCAAGCGGCTTGGCCCACGTCGCCCCCCGCACACAAATGGGTGGCCGTGGCCGTCCAGCCACGAAAGTTGTTGCTCGTGCGGAGCTTGGCTTGACACTCGGCGTTGGACTTGACGACGAAGGTGTTTTCCTTGAGCACCGACGACGGGTTGCCGGAAGGACCGCTGGTTTGACCCCACCCCAACAGCTTGACGCTCGTCTGCGCAGCAACTGCGTCCTTGGCGAGCGGGAGGGGGGCAAACTTGGACGCCCGGCTCAGCTTGAGGACGGCCACGTCGAAGCCAGTGAGGATGCCCCGGTAGCTGGGGTGCGACGTGGAGGACACCACCGAGATCTGCTCGCCGTCCGACGTGCCGCTGTTGTAGTGGGTGCCAACGGCGACAAAGCCAGGCTTGCCGTTCGCGACGCAATGGGCTGCAGTCAACACGTAGTCGGGGGCGATGAGAGTTCCTCCGCACGACGAGGACCCCCCGGCAGACCTGCGGAGGTTGACGGTCCACGTGTATTGCCCAACGGGGGCCTCCTTTCCGCCAACGACACGGATGCCGTCGCCCCGTTCTTGGCTCTCCGAGACGTCGGTGAAGTTGAAGTCTTGCGCGAAAACGGTGGCAACAACAGCAGCGATGGCAACGAAGAGTTTCATGGTTGTTGGTCGGTCGGTGCAAATTGAAAAGTGCCTCTTCTTGGACGGACTGTTTAACAAGCTCGGCTCTCTATCGATGGCGTTGGTTAAAGTCAGATAGTTCTAGACCTGAGAAGGTAGATACTATGAGTCGGGATCTCGGGTTTCTGGTTATCAGATTGGATGGTGTAGACGAAGTCTGAGTCTACTCATGCCCCTTTGGTAAGGAGTTGCCGTCGCATGCAACCCATACCGGTATTGTCCTTTTACCCAAAATGTGGACTTTTGTGCAGAATCGCCAAATCTATAGTGTCATGTGGGCAGCACCCTAATTCGACGTTGATGAGGTTTCCTGCAATCTGATTGGCTAAACCCTTCTGCCGATTCTTCTTGTGTAGATTTGGTTGTGTCGATTCATTTTCCATGTCGCTCCAGTTCAGAATAAACACAACAATACGTGTTCGGCGGTGTAAGAACCTCGCAGTAAAGTACAGTAAACAATGTTTTGTCATGAATTTCGAAAGCAAACGGCTTGCAGGATATGTGTTGCTCATGCTCTAAGGTAGCTGAGGAAATGCCTGGGTGGTTATTCCCTTTGATACGTGCAATGTACAATGAAGCCAGAATTCGAATGGCGTGCCAACGTCAGTGAGTAATTTGCACAGAACTGATAACCAAAGAGCTTTTGAAATGCATGTCGAACAATAGGGTGAGTCAGTTTCGGAATGTAAAGCCCTGGTCGGGAATGTGTTTGCATGAACTGTCTCCGAACGACGTATGGTTGCACGTCACCTCCTACGTAGTATAAACTATTACTACGTAGTAGATAGATAGGGCTCCGACATTTGGTGACAAAACCAGAGTCTACCTCTCAAACATAGTTATGGAAACTGTCAAATATAATGCTCAATCCCCATAATTGACTAATCGTATGGAATCAATTCCATTCTGTACAATTCCAAACGACTCGTGGCTGAATATTATCAGTGTGGCCGCCAACATCATCCCATCGAGACTTCAACGGAGCGTCAAGTGGCTGTAACGTGGATGACCGACTTGAGCAGAGCTATGTCCGACGAAGATTTAATTCGAAACGCAACCTTTCGCTTTACTCCGAGGCGAGCTCCATGAGATATTTGGCCACACGATGAATGCCAAAGCAAGGAAAAAGCGGTACGTGGCGGGATGACTTGGACAGTCCATTTAGTCGCTGCAGTTTACCAAGACCACAACGATGCGAAGCGAACGCGTTTCAAACCGTTGCAGTGACGGGCTAAACAACTGCCTAGCACCAGGCTGGTCTACAAAGGTAGAGAGAACGTTTACATCCGGAATGTCGCCAGCTTGGATGTGCTTGGCCAGTTCTAACAGGCCACCCATTTGCCCAAGGACTCGCAACAGGTTGGGCATGGTTTTGTTAGGGCTGGCGGATGAAGGCCAAACGAATGCATGGAAGGACGCTTTTGCTAACGCCTATCGCTGGGTCCACACATACAACTAGATGTGCTTGGGATCGAAGGATGTGATAGACTGCACGTTGAGAGTGTTGTCCAAGTCGGAAGCATCGCGGCTGAGGAGGCATGGCTGCACTTGCAGCTCCAGCGATAGGTCGTGCACGAGCGACGCCACGTTCTGGCTGGAGCCAACTGGTGCTCAACGCATGCAGCCAATGCATGCTGCAGCGTGGGGTTTTTGTTAACATATCCTCTCGCTTGATCCAAATTGAACTCGAGGTGGCTTGGACAGATGAGCCTTGAGGACGGAAGTTGGAAACACACCCAAAATGCCAGTCGACTGGCTAGGAATGGGAGGTGCCGAAACAGGACACACGCTTCCGCCTCTATAGGATCGATTGACAATGGCGGCGGCACCGGTGCGATAGAGTCATAAATGAATCGTAGGATTGGGAGAAACAAGTATAGTGCCATGCTGAGGATATGAAGCAACCCAATAGCCACGACGGCGGTATGTTAAGGAGCACCGTCATCGTTGGGCAGCGCTTACCAAGTTGAGATATTTTGCGATCCACTTCCTCGTATCATATTTTAATTTTAACGGCAATGGAGTTTTCAATAAAATGTTACCAGTACACTCGGAAAGAGCCCTAATATTAAAGGTAACGATATTATTATTATGTAGTATTACATTATTAATGTAATACAGCAATTATTAACTCTAAAAAAAGTACAGCTGATACAGTATTCGCTCGGATTTGTGCAACACTCATGTCAATGACGTCAAACGTTGAGGTGACCGCAAGGAAGCATCGAAGTGCATGTGCGAGCTGCTTGCTGGATGAGATCGGCGTACAAGAGGAGGATCTTTCACAAGTACGTATGAGACTGCATGCACCGGAACGAATCTCACGTCACGACGTGGAGGGAGGCCGAAGGACTCTTGGAATCTTGGCCCAAGTCGCTTGTGTCCTCAACGTAGACCAAGTGCACATGAGTGAGTACGCCCCTCCCACACACCTCGAATCTGGACTCATGCGCGAGCGTAGGTACTTGGCGGTCATGGATGCATTAAGCGAGCGACACAGTAATGCAACAGACGCCGTCTGCACACTCGAAGATGAGATGAAAAGGATCACAATGCGGAATGACCGTACACGACAAGAAATGGCGCATCTAGCTCACATGCACGAATCCATGCGATTGATGGCCGAGGAGCGCGAAATATCAGAGAATTCCGGCATGTTCAAGCATTGGGCGCGCGATAATGGTGAGAAGGAGCGCCGCTACACACAGGAAATTGTACGTCCACGGCTCCCCTGCTCGTTGATCTCATTTTTTTGTAGCAACATTGCCATGCAGAGCTTCAAGCTCGCAGGTTTCCCTTGGATGAATCGTACGACCTTGGGTGGCATGTATATATAGTACACAAGCAAACTCGATCCTTGTGTTTAGGTTGGAACACCATTCGCTGGTGGCGCTGGCAGAGCAGTGTGCCGCCTTAGACGAGCAGAACTACGAACTGGCGACGCAACTCGCCTTGTACAGCTCCCTTCCGTCGACGATTCCTGACGCTCAAAGGATGTTGGACTCCATGGAAGCGGACTTGATGCACCTCGAGGCACCGATGTCGTCTGCCGGTAATCAAGAATTGACACTTTGAACTCAGGTTTCAAATAGTGTATTTTAAATACACGCGAGTGATTTTTAATATACTCAAACAAATCGCTTACATTTATCCAGTCAACATTCTCCATTTTGAATTTATTGTCCTGAATAAGTAGTGGTGGGGAATAAATTTCATATTTTGAATCGGACAAATTGATGGCGTCGTTCAAGCAGCTCTTTGAGGCGGCACCGGTGAACTCGGTCGAGTAAGATGCGCCGTCATTGCAGCATGCCTGTATGGAGAGCTAACATGCATTTTCATGCGTCCTAGGCAGTTGTTCACGCGGGGGCGCGTGGCGTTCTATACTTTCATCGCGTTTGGACCGGGCACCATGACGGGGCTGTACCTCCACAGCCTCAAGTTGGAAATGGAGAACGACAACCAAGCAGCCAAGCTGATTGCGATGATGAAAGCTCAAGAAGAAGTGCTCGAGGAAGAGCGAAAGGAAGCTGCGATTTTGACGCAGATGCAGAAAGTCCAAGCGAATCTCCAACTCTTGCACAGTCGCATGAGGGCTCTCGAGGAGACAGTTACCGGCCACAGTACTATCGATCCGCTAGCCGATATTCTCCCCACTTCTACAGACACTCTGGATGGCGACGACGCATCGAACGACAACTCTGATCAACACGACGACACCTCGCTCGTCGCGACGATCCAAGCGGCCGCGCGGCAGTGGTGGGAAGACGAACACATGCAAGAGAAGGTGGATGCATGGTACGCGTACTTATGGGAAGACGACGAACTGGACGAATTTTTCAGTCTGGACGCATGGAAGGCGAAGGCCCTAGCTTGGTGGAGTGGCGAGGAATCGTCGAAGCCCCCGTCGTTGCATGCGAGCGCGCTGCTGCAGACCGTAGAACAATGGGCAACCATTGATGGGAGCCTATCATGGCTGCAAAACAAAGATGTCATTCGTGCAAAGCTCCAAGAAACAGTGGCGCAAGGGCGGGAAGCGCGAGAGGTGGCATTGGCGAAGGAAGTCGCCGCGAAGAAGGAAGCCGAGATCAAGCGACAACGTAAAGTTCTGTCCAAGCTAGAACGAATGAAGGATCAAAGCGGCATTGAAGCGCGAACAAGCGGAGCGAATGCGGTTCGGATACAGAAGGATTTTGAAGTTCTTAAGAAACACGATTAAAGTTCGGTCTTGGGGGCGTTCTTGATATCGAGCAACTCGACGTCGAAGACCAAGGTCGCACCGCCGGGAATCTTGGGAGGGGACCCGCGGTCGCCGTAGCCAAGGCCGGACGGAATGGTCAAGCGGCGCTTTTCACCAATGCACATGCCCAGGAGTCCCTGGTCCCATCCCTAACGCACATTGTTGATCAACACGCTCCTATCGATCGACAGATATCTACAACGTACTCGGATCACTTGACCAGAGCCCAACGTGAATTCAAACGGCGAGTTGCGGTCCACGCTCGAGTCGAACTTGCTTCCGTCCTTGCGCAAAGTTCCCGTGTAGTGCATGGACAACTTGTCGCCGCTTTCGCTCTTGCGGGAGCACGATTCCGGTCGGAATTTCACGCCCACGCGGAGCTTGGCATCGGCGGCCAAGTCTTCTTTGGCAAAGGCCGCTACGGCGAGACAGGCGAGGGCAGCAACGACGCGCATGACGACGGACGATTCTACGACTGCGAGAAAACGAGAATGATCACACGTGTCACTTTCAGCGTGGTCATAATATCTCCCGTGTAATCATTATTGTGACCAAATAATACCCGGATACTACATCCGGACAACCCACTCATCGTAGGTGGCTTTACTGTTAAACCCATTACGTTAAAAGCAGGGGCAGTATGTTTCATTGCCATCGTTGTAACTTTAACGCGACGTTTTAGTGGCAGTCGATGAGACACGTTTTATTCCCACTCCTCGTTATCCGCACACGAGCGGCTGGGACGATGGCCGACACGGAAGGGACGCATCCGCTGCATACGGCGTGGAGCATATGGGAGCTCCGTGAGATGTCCAAGGGGAACTACGCCGACAAATTGCACAAGCTATGCACCTTCAAGACAGTGGAGGACTTCTGGGGATACTGGAACAACCTGCCCAAGCCCAGCCAAGTGCTCAACGACGGGGTGACGAAAAAGAAGCTCGGCGACCGCGCGATTGAGTCGTTCTGCTTCTTTCGCGAGGGCATTACCCCGGAATGGGAAGACCCTATCAACCTCTCGGGTGGCGAATGGCAGGTTGCATTGAGTACGTTGGATGGACCTACAACCTGTATCATCGTTCCATGACTGATGCGAGTGCTGCATAGAGCTGCAAGCGGAAGAATTAGACCATCTCTGGGACAAACTTGTGTTAGGAATGATTGGGGAAACGATCGACCCGGACAATGAGATCACAGGCGCACGCATCATTCACAAGGTAATCAATCTTCGACTCCCAAGTGACCATGTTGGGTCGTGGAATACTCATAATGATGAGAACTGTAGAACAAGAAGGATCAGCACTCGTACCGCTTTGAGTTGTGGCTGCGAAGCCGCGACATCAACTTGGCGGATGTGATCCGAAATGACATGCTCGACTGTTTGAACACCGACAACAAAGGAAAAGCCATCACGCGAGCGGACTGCGTGCACAAGACTCACAGTCATTAACTCGTGTAGACACACACTTCAACATGGGAATACAACTAACGACCTCCAACCACTTCAATGTCCTTCCTTGTCTCTGCTGGTTGAGAACATGTCCATCCTGATCGCGCGCTTCCCTTGTACTCATGTTGTTGCCTACCAATTGCAGCAACGACATCCATCATTGTTCAACCTTCCACGCCATCCCTGTTGGTCGTTGTCAATGAACAATAGTCAGAGCAGTGTTTGCACACAGTGCGCGTCATCTTCATAGCGACACCGCCATACTTCCACGGCGTTGGCTAAGCATGATGTCAACGGCCCATGGTCATGCGCCATCCACAAGCCGCCTTTCGCGCAAGTTTTGAAAATGGTTGTCGGTTTCACAATGAAATTTAATTATAGCCAATCAAGTCAATCCATTTTTCAAGACGATCGTTGATTTGCTATAATTTCGATTTTGTTCCCATTTGGAAATCTCGATTCGCAAGCAAGATGGAACTGCAGATCCATGTGCGGCGGGCGCGCGCCTTTCTCTTCCATTCCCTCTCGCTCGGCAGTGCATCGCTGGATGCAGACGCCTTGGAGCTTCGTGTACAATGCACGATCAATGGCGAGCTGAGGAGCAGTGGAAGTGGAAAGCGAGGCAACGCCAAGAGCAAAAATGCCGACGGGTACATCTGGCGCCAAGACTCGGGTGTGATCAAGTGGTATCTCACGGCCAAGGAGCTGAAAGCGCTCAAGAGCAAAGCGCCGACGCTCAAGCTGTACGTATTCGGCATTGGCGACGAAGTGCACAGCCTGGGCTGGTTCTTCATGGACCTAAGGTACGGACTCCTTGCATATCTCAACGTTTTGTGCTTACGGACTGGATAGGACACCGGACACAGCGCTACGATGGATCAAACTCGTCAACTCCAAGTACTCTGGTGAGATCCACGTGAGCAGTCAGTTGCGGAAAGCGCCGCCCTTTCCATCATCGATACCACCACCGCCACCCCAGCAACACGACCTACCAGTAGTCCCACCCACAACAACCGACGAAGACGACTGCTTGGACATTGGCGACGATCCCGACGCCATCTACGTGCTGTCGATCGTCGTGGAAGGCGCGACGCACATGGGTCCCATGGTGGAAGCACTGCTTAAGCGGTGTTCTCCGCTGGAACTGCATGCGATCCTCGCCAAAGGCTTCTGGCTCAGCTACTCCATCTTCGACGTGGTCGTGCAAACCGACGTGTTTCACACGCTGGACGTCGCGGGCTTCGACGTCATCCGCGACTCGTTCCGCCTCAAGAGCTCGCTTCCCGCCCTCGCCGCCCTCTTCACCGACATGGCCGTGCTGCCCATGTTCCTCTGCACCGTGGACCGCATCCTCTGTCGCACGGAAATTCCTGTCGCCAACTGGTTGCCATCGACAGACCTTGGCAGGTTAGCTGCTTCTTCATCTGAACTACGAACCACGCCACCAGCTCTTCAACTCAAGGGTCCGTATCCGTTTCTGGCGTCGCATGAAACCAAAGGTACGGCAATTTATATATATATTACTAGTATACATTATATATAATGCATATATTATATATTACTAGTATACATTATATATAATGCATATATTATATATTACTAGTATATATATAATATATATGTATATATTATAAATATATATTTACGTGTATTCATGTACTGCAGTGTATAGTACATATTCACATATATATTATACGTATATACATATATATATATATATATATATATATATATGTATACTAGTAACATATATGTAAGCCATAAATGTTTGTGATTCGTTGCATATCTAGTATTCAATGGTCGGTGCAGTAGTATAGTATAATTTGGAGA